AAAACGCCACTTGAAAACTAGAGTCTGTGGACATTTAGGAGTATCAAACAGAACCAAGACTCATCCATTCGTTCACATGGTGCAACCACAGGTTACAGTATTTATATAACGACTTTTCTATCATTGATACAGGATCTTCAGACCTTGAACTCTACATCAAAGAAAATTTCCTAATAGCTCTACTCTTAACGACTTACAAACCTCTTTAGACCTAAATTTGTTTTAAACTTCCACACTTGAAACTCAACTGCTTCGCAATATAATCTATATTTTTAACCTTCTGTTTACCACTTTACTCAATGACAAAGTAACCAGCGATTAATGATGCTATAGTTTTAGTTAATAAACATCTTTGTAACGCTATTTTCAGATTTCGCTGAAGTTAGAATAAGTATATTCCAAACCGTTCGAACCTTGAAAATAAAATGTTTTGTATTTTATCAGCCATCTTCATCTTTATTATTAGATTTCGTTTTCCCCATCATGACTACTTCAAAGTCAGCAATGCATAGGAAGAAAACTATGATGACTCATGTTGGTGGTAATGATGATAAAGTATGTTGTTCGACTGAAGGCGACAGTGATCATTAAATTCTATGCCAAAGAATTAGATGTGGTCTAATGAAAACTTTTAGGAGAGTGAAAGTTTTACAGTCATTAATGTGATTTTCTAATTCTTATGCACAGTTTAGAATAATTTTACTGAAATGTAATTTCCAGATGAACTTTTATTAAATTTCATATCTAGAAACGTAATTTTTCCCACGAAGGTGATCGGCGTGTCCTACAGCTATATTTTGTATTTCTTTAGTCTAGGAAATCTCTTGTTTAATCTTTTTTTTAGAAAACAATAACCTCAGTTTTATTGTTTTATCTTTTAGAACATTCCGCCATTTGTAACATCAAACTGTGATTTTTGTGCGGGAAGTCTGTACTCGAGTGGTGAGGTCGTGAGAGATACTCGATTCCGCTATGTCATAAGCATACTGAGATACGTGGGTTAATAGTAGGAAGGGGTGGGAAGATAGATCGTTAACATATGTTATGTAGAGCAAAGGGCTTATTACTGATCCTTTAAGAACTCCGATGTTAAATGAAAAGGTGTTAGTGAAGTGTTGTAGACGAGGAGTTTGACAGCACGGTTGGCGTGAGAACTTGAGACCCACCTTAGAAACATCAGGGGAATGTATTAAGAACCAATTTGGCCAGACAATAAAAATACTTATTAACATCTACGAAAACAGAAAGTGTAGCACAATTAAAATGAAAACCATGAAAAAACGCTTCAGTTAACCTAAGTGATATGTGATTCTTCTGTTTTTACGCGGCGCGTTTTGAATGTTTGAAATAAGGTTATTGTGTTTAGATACAATAGCAGCCTGGTGGATATACTTTTTCCCAGACGTTTACCTATACATTTAAGTAAATTGATGGACGAAAGTCGTTTGGATTTAATGATTTGGGTCCTTTCTTAGAAAGTACAATTACAAAAGTTACTTTCCGCTTGATTCGATAATAGACAGAAAAGAGAGATAAGTTAAATAAAATGTGTTTTTAATGAAGTGTTTGCTGACACATTCTTCACCAGAGTTGAGGTTTTTAATTGCTTGATATGTATTTTAATTTCACAAATAGAAATGGGCCTGTTAATATTATCGTGAGGGAGAGCAGAGATTTGATCAGAGATTGTTGCGGGGAAATTTTGGACCATAGTCTAAGTGGTTCTTGGTTATCTGATTATTAATTAAATTGTAATCATTATCGTCAAATGTGTTTAAGTTAAGAGTAGAGAAGGAGCTTTTGAAATATTCAGCAAAAATATTAGCTTTTTTGTTCTCGGTAGCAAAAGCAGAATTATTTTAAGAGATGTTACTTAACGTTGTCATCTCTAAAGGTGGATTTAAATTTGCTCCACAACGTTCAGGGTCTGGTTCTGTTTTATCAAGAGGAACACAAAATTTTCTCAATTTACTGTTTGCTGTTCTTTAATGAGTTTGTGGATATGATTTTTGGTTTTGTTAATCAGTTTTTTAATTGAAGGGTCACGCGTTTTTATAAATTGACGGCAGATATTAATGTTGTGTCTAATGGTTTTAGAAAACATTGTTTCTATTATTTTAGACATTACATGTGATATTTCGGTGGAGTAACTGTCTAAGTTTTAAGATTAGTAAACGGCAGATCATATATTAGGCGGCCCGCATGGCCAGGTGGATAAGGCGCTCGACTCGCAATCTGAGGGTCGCGAGTTCGAAT